CTGAAGAAGCCATCGTCGAAGAAGAAACCCTACTCGGTTTTGAGAAGGGAAACAGTGAAGCCCTTGATGAAGTTACTACCACTGGTGTGACTGTTACCGATGATAGGACATTTCCTGATGAAGCAGATACGTCCCGTAAAATTAAGATACTTTGTTGAATTTTAATTTTGTTTGTGAATTCTGTACATTTAATTAAGTTATTGTTAACTGTTTTAATGTAAGTGCACAATACTAAGGAAGGGACAGTGTTACGACAGCGGAAGTCACGTGATTCTAGTAACACGTCATGAACTTCTAGAAAAATCATATCCCTTCCTGAAGCCTCGAGTGTTTACTAGATGTGCGGTATTCTTGTATATAAGACCGCCAAGAACTAACGGCAAGAAGGTAATTGAACTGCAGACAGAGACAGACTGACAATTGATTCGAGCACGTGAGTCGTTCGTTGTGAATTATAGCGTTCAACTTATAGCAGGACCGTGGAAATTAAGTGAATTTCAAAGTTGTATTGAGAAAGAATAAACCAGTTTTATTTAAGAAAGGACTTGTGTCACTAAAGTTTCATCGGAAATAAATTATACGGGAAATTAACTAACGACCAGAGACGTAACAATGCCAATGACTGCATGATTTCTAATATATTTTAATATATATATACACACACCTTTGTTACGTCTCTGTTCGTTTGTTAATTTCCCGTAGAAATTCCTTCCGAGAAACTTCAGCGATACAAGTCCTTTCTTAATTAAAACTAGTTTATTAGTTTTCGATACAACTTTATAATACACAGGATTTCCACAGTCAATACGTTTGCAATCTCAATAACAAAACACACACTTTATATTACAGTTACTACCACTCACTTGTCCGTCTCTATATCTGCCTGTCTGCAATTCAATTCCGATTAATTGTCTCACTTTATCTGGCGCGCTTATACACAGGAATAGAGGGTGTCTAGCAAATACTGGATTATTCCTGATGTTCCCCGATCCTTCTAAAAACTCATCACGTGTTACCAGGGTCACGTGACTTCCGCTGTCGTAACACCTTGTTAATGATAATGGTTTAATAAGCCCAACTGTTATACTTTCTCTACCAAAATAGCAATTAAGGCAACCCTTTCCTATTTTTCAAAAATATACCTATATTAATTTTAATACTGATATGAAGCTAATAATGTTGTGCTTATGTTCTTTTTTACTTTATAAAATAAACATTTAGAAATAGATAACTAATATGAGTCCATCTTTTCCACATTATAGAACATTAACCTTTATCTCTTCCATCGTTGATAACATACTAATAATGCCAACCCTTGTTTCCTTTCATTCTATAATGTACACACAATTTGATTAAGTTATATACAATTATATAATATTGGGGCAGAATCACATCATTACAATCCCCGTTACTACGTTCTGTCATTCTTTATCTGACGAAAATGCATTTTGACAATAGCCTTGCAGTGCAGTTTCCATTGCAAAAGGTTCCGTTGTAAGGCTATCGTGTCCAAAGCACACCAACCTCCTCTGCCGACTTTCCATAGACCATCTTGTGTAGGAGGACAACAGTTTCCAATTGTTCATTTAAGCAATCTAATAACTTGTTCGATAATATGACTGATATATTTTTATATGGAATAACATGAATACCCATTTCATTCTCCAGCTGTCTAAGGTATGTGACAGTGGAGCGTATATGTTGTGTCGCTTTCCTAGACACAAATCCTTGATTATGCTGTATACTGTTGCCCGGGGCACGTGGATGGCTTTTGCCATTGACCTTTACGTTAGTGGATTCTCACCTATTACAGGACTTCACACTTTGCTTACCATGGCTGAGTTTGGCTTGTTGCGGATATCTTTTTGGTTGGTCCTGGTTCCCCGAGTTGATTTATATTTCTTTGTCCAGTGCTATTATTCCCCATCTTAGAAATTCTAATCCATCAACGTGTACACATATTTGTGATCTTAGTATATAAGTATTTTGCATCAGAATGGCTGTTATATTCACTTACCAAAGAGCAATCAATTTTTGGTGGTATCATACTACATATATAATAGTAAAGAAAGCCAAAATGTAGTTCTGATGCATTTCATTCTACCAGAACTTCACATAAGATGTGGTTGTTGCATCGCATGATTTGCTGATTTAAAATAACTTTAATATAATGTACTCAGCCTTCTGTATAACCATTATTGGTAATATATTAATACAATTGCTTTATCTGTTCAGTGGAAAAAAAACAATTATTCTAATTTTTTTGGAAACAGGCTAATACCAGCTTTTTACATTCTCCTTCTCTCTCCTTGTATTTTATCCATTACGAACATACTACAGTTTCATAATATGGACCGACTGAGACCATTGTTTTTCAAATTTATTTATTTCTTCAGTATTATATTTCACTAGTACATTATGCAACTGAATGCTCTCTTTCTTTTATTCACCAAAATATAACTCACCCAATATAAATTACAATCAGTATTAGAAATCTGTGAAACTATCTTTATCTTTGTTTTATGAAGTTTACTATTCAAAATAATGAATATTTCTAGAAATTTTACTTATGCAACATTAATCAATTTCATAGTGTGATAAATTCATAAACTGCTCTCCTCACTCTCACTAGTTCTAAGAAAATATTTATAACAAAAGGTTTTGCTTAATAAGAAGCATAATCTCCAGGGATGGAAAACTGTCTATCTCATTACTTTTTACATCTACAACTCATAAAAATCATACATCTATTTGCCTGTGATTGGCTACATTTAAAGGTAGAAATAGTTATTTCTACAATATATAATTACACTACTAGCCCAAGCACTTTTAAAACCTAAATTGTGGACAGAAAAAGCATACTTACAAAATCCAACATACCAGATACTGGATAAAACTATTTATTTCGGAAATAATGTTTTTCAGGGAATAACAAACAAAACATGAAGTTTTCTTTTAGTTTCCCAATAATATTATAAAGCTTGAATTATTCAGGAAATACTAACAATTGATATTTCAATCATGAATCATGTATGAAAAAAACAACACTCTGATGCAAACAATTAACATCAACTGTAAACTTTTATACAGTACAAGAAATTACATATAATATTTAATCGGACAATTAAATCATAGTTATTCTCAAGAAAAACTTCCCTTATATGGCATCCTATGTTAAAATAAAAATATGAAAAATATAAGATTGAGCTTCTGTATAACATGAGATTGTTGCAAAGCAGATATCAAAATAAGAAAAACAAAAAATAGACATAATATCTAGATTTCTTTTCTCTGTTCTAGCTCAAGCATATTTTATCTCTAAGCAATTGTGCTTGTAAATATCTGTATGTAAAATAAGACTATTAATTACTTTAAAACATTACAGGAATGTTCTTCACTTGGCATATTCCTATTCCCAACAAACAATTAGATTTTGATCTTTCCTACTTTACATCTTGAACAGTGAATTCACTTTAACTAACACAGTCTTTAGCATTCTCTGAGATTCACAACTTTTGGAGAAGAACACTTAACAAGATATTCAAGTTGCAGAATACCTCTGCAACAAAAGTGTGTGGCAACCATCACAGACACGAACAGGCTTGGAAGAAGATGGCAAAGGCATGGTATTGTCTGAACAATTTCTGCAGAATATGTCACCACAGCTACGACAATGATGCTGTAAAGTATGTACACAACTTGTAGATAAAAAACAACTCGTTGAAACATTACTACTTAAAACTTATTAAATACACAAATAGTCATGTACACTAAATTAAAAGTTAATTTCAAATCAATGACAAATATAATACCAATGTAGCTCAATCTAAAAATATATACAGAAATAGAAATGGAGGTGGAATAACCAAAAAACATGGAAACATCAAATTCTTAAACAAATGGGGGGAGTAAATGAAGGTGCACCAATTTAACCTTAAGTATCTTTTAATTTGTTTGTCTACAGAAATCAGCTTTGAAAATTTTCTACAAATTCAACCTTCAAAACTTTTAACAGGTGTATAATCTGCAGATTTTAAATACCGTTTTTTGCTCACACAAATTGAATGAAGTATAATTTGGAAACATTATGTACATTGTAAAAACAAAAATTATCACAAGTTTTTACACTTAAAGGTAAGCCACATATAATCTATTTTACAGACATAAAAATGTATTTAAAAACATAAAACAATTAAATAGTAAGAGTACTACTTGCTTCATGAATACAACTTAAGAGAGCAAGGTCTGAGGCTTGCATAGGACTCAAGAAGTGCACTGCAAGTACCAAGAGAATAATTTGCACAGAAGTAATTCACTACAGCACTCTCTGTGTGCATGTCAAAACATCTGAAACTTCTTTGAATCTATAAAAAGTGGTTTCAAGAAGGGGGCTGCAACAACTGAGAGAAGAAGTTACACAGAAGTAATTCATTACAGTGTTCTCTGTGCATGTCAAAACATTTGACTCTTCTACGAATCTATAAAAAAACTGGTTTCATAATGTAACTCATAAAAACTAAATACAAGCAACCTGATACAAATAACAAAGATTAAAATAGTAGTATGTCTGAGGTACTAGTAATGCACTCTTGTTATTAAGTATACATTTTCACCGATTGTCGGTCAATTGTTAGTTCATCTGAATAAGTCATTACTTGGGTACCACACTTACTTATACCTATAGTTTTCTTGTCAATGAATCTACACTGACTTCAAAATTACATTTTCAACAATAAAAAATATGAAAATCTACACTCATGGAAAATTCTTTATAGTAGCTACAAAGTTATGAGTTAATGTTTTCTTAATGTACACAAATATTTGATTTTTATACAGCATTTTCAATGTTTATTCCATTAAAAAATCTATATTATTATTTCACTAAATTTCATCCAAGTTGATACTGATTAGAGATCTTATGTTGATTTCTATCCACCAATATTGTTTTAGTGATAGAAGACAATAAACTAAATGTTGAAACATCTTAGGTCTGTTTGTTGAAGTAAAAAAGTAAAACATTGAAATACAAGTGATTAAACTATGTGGAGAAAAATTAATAATTTATTTCACTTTTTACTTTTTGATTACTAGTTTTATCCTATGTTTTAGTTGCTAATCTGTAGCAGTCTTCAATAAAGTTAACATTTTCCTTACCTGAAAATGTATTTCTGACAGAAGCTTACTTCTGCACACAGAATAGCTTGATCCCTCATGCATCTGCCTATGCTACTTGCATGGCATTAGCTTTGAGCTATCTCCCATCTAAAAATCACGTGTTTAACATGTACTGCACTATGCATGATGACAACATCATGCAACGATTGAATGAAGTTATTTCGAGTACAAGTGCTTAGAAGAAGTTACTGTGCTAAGTGGTTATGTCACCCTCCTTATTGGTGGAGGGCTATTGTTGCATGATGATGTCATCATGCACTAGTGCAGTTCACGTTAAAAATGTGATTTTTAGGTAGGAGTTAGCTCAAGGCTAGAAGCATGCATGTGTGTGAAGGTGAGGTATTGTCCTGGAAATACTATTTCTGTGGTGGTAGTTGCCAGGATTCAATCCTGGGTCTTCTTGTTAGAAAAGCAGGTGAGGTATTTGTTAGTTTGAAGCCACACCCATAAGGACTTGAATCAACTAAACCCTTTCAAGAGTGGTATCCAGGGTTTCCTTACTTCTATACTAAGTTAACCGAGTGTATTATCAGACAGTTGAAGATAAAATGTTTCTTTTATTTCTCATTTTCTTGGGTGTAGTATATATTTATTATTCTAGTATTTTTTTCAACTTATAATATGCTGTTCTTCTTTGGTATGATGTACTATCACTGATAGATTGACATTGTAGAGCCTTGTAGGTTTATTATGCTACTGAATTCTTATTTTTGTTTACCCTTTTGTTTCTTCATTGTATTAGGTCATCAAGAAATTAATGTCACTTTTTTTTGGTGAAAAAAACACCAAACAACTTATATATCAAAATAAAACATTTATTAAATGAAATAGTCCCCATTGTTATCGATGATGCTTTTCCATCTTACAATCAGGTTGTTCATGCCTTGATTAAAGAAATCATTTAGCTTTGAACAAAAAACATGTTGATGTTCTCTTTAACACCTTCCACATTTGCATACGTTTTCCATATTGTATGGTGTTGCAGTGAACAAAAAAGATGGTAGTCTGATGGTGCCATATCTGGAGAATATGGTGGGTGGGGGAGAACTTCTCAACCCAACTTCATGATCTTGTGTTTCATCAAACATGCCACATGTGAACGTGCATTGTTGTGGAGAAGAAGAACACCTTTCCGATTGACGAGTGAAGGGTGTTTCTGATGAAGGACTTGATTTAAATGTTTCAGTTGCTGACTATAGATCTCTGCATTGACAGTGTGCTGTGGATTGAGTAGTTCGAAATGAATTACTCCTTTTATGTCCCACCAAATGCAAAGCATCACTTTCTACAGATGGTGTCCAGGTTTTGGGGTTGGAAGTGGTTTTTGTCTAGGACTGAGCCATTGTTTTTGGCATTTAATATTCGCATTGAGAATCCATTTTTCATCACCGGCAACAATTCTGTCCAAAAAGGGTTCACACGCATTATGCGCCAGAAGAGAC